CAGAAAAACACATAATGTGACACTGAAAGTCATTGACTGGCCTCCCTAAAGCCTGCACCTCAACATTGCAGTGTGGGATCATCTTGACAGAGAATGGAACAAAAGGCAGCAAACATCCAAAGAAGAGCTCTGAATGTCCTTAAAGAACTGTTCCTGAAGACTACTTAAAGAAATTGCAAGAAAGCTTGCCTCAGAGGGTTTGGGCTGTGTTGAAGAATAAAGGTGGTCATACCAAACAGTGACTTACAAGCTCAATACAATTCTACCAACTGTTTCTGCCCTATATACTGTACGTTTCCATAAATCGCTATACTCATTTCCCATTTTGCCCTCAAAACACAAAGAAATGAGGAGTGGTTTAAGACTATTTGTTCTCTTTTGTCAGAGTTACATCTTTAGAATAATATCACACAAATGGCTGTATGCTAAGCATATAAATACAGACAGCAGCTATATAAAAAAAACAACAACAAAAAAAAAACAAAAAAAAACAGGCAAATAGTGATTCTTGCTCTGTCCACAGACAACATAGAAACAGACAGAAATACTGTGGCACGTGAGTCCCGATTAAATCCTAACTTGTCATTTTAGGTTTTGATTCATTTCAGATTATGTGTGGATTTAAGATGCTCATTAATCAGTTTCATATCTTGGCAAGCACACCCTGTTATCGTTCAACTAAGCAGGTAAACAAAGCTAACCAGCTGGTGACTCCACCTTCAAATGAGAATGGGGTAGTTTTTCAACTGTCAGTAAGAAAGGAAACACATATTTCCAAAGCTGCTACAAACTATTCTTCAAACACTGAAATGCATTATAGATGATGCCCTTCAAATGATACATAAATCTTAGGGAAGCTGCAGAAGAAACACAAACATAAAGTAACATGCAGAGAGAGGTGATGATTTGACCCTTACAGCGAGGGCATGCGGTTGCATTTCTCTAGCATTTCCACGCAAAGGATCGATACAAAGCTGGTCTCAGTAATCATGGTTATTCTTTGAAGAAACATTTCTATCCTACTCTCATCTTTAAGTATAACAAAGCCCCCATCCACAGGGCACAAGGGGTCAATTCATGGTTTAATGAATTCCTCTGAGAAACTGTGAACTTGTGTTAGACAGAGGTGCCCACCACACTAATCAAAGTCCCAAATAGGACAATATCTATTTGACTTGCATTCCATCTTGGGGTGGGCAACATAGTCTTACAATTACACACAATATATCACAATGGAAATTATGCAATAATTACATTTTTTTGATATAGAAGAAGTACTGAACATTGTATCTGTGATTGCAGCTCGCAGGCAGCAGCATTTATTAGTGAATACAAAGTAAAGGGAATATTCCAGCCTTCTTTTCCAATGAATTCCGGTCAATGTTGACAGACTGCCTAATTTGAAGTGTGAATCTTTTGCCACAAGGTGCCAGCAGG